CGTCCGACTTTAGTTTTTCTCTACGACAATGCAACGGTGTCTGATGATTCACGTAAATGTTACGAACAATTGAAAGTTGCTCTGCATAGCCAACTTTTGGGCGTCGACATTTTCTTTCTCAATATGAAAGCTGATGTAGCCGTTATACGAAAAAACGCTAGCAATGATGACGACGACGATGCTGATGATAATGATGATGAGAAACTATTGGAAAAAGAACGTTTATGTCGCTACAAGCTGCTAATCAATGTCGACGAAATGAAACACGATATCATTAATGGAAATAATCACGAACAAGCACCGTTACTCGAACAGTGCCAGTGTTTCGATATTTTCTCTACTGTATCGCCCTTCGATCCGATGGAAATCATGATGAAACGACGATCGATCGATCGTATTATTCTTTACGCTGCCGAACATGATTTACGACCATCAAAATTTGTGATCAGTATTGTTCATGCAAGTATTGATACATTTTTCGATTTTATTCTTGTCACCAACCGACGTTCACGTGATGAATGGAACAGATTGCGCGACGATGCATTACAATGGGGTGAACACTTTTTTCAGCAATACCGGGACGCCGTCGACAGGATTGGCGACGAAGCAAATCGACGTTTGCCACAACGTTTCCGTGAGAAACGTAAAGATATTGAAAACAGAGCCATGGCTGATTGTGAGACAAGAGGCATTGAGTGGAATGATAAGATCGATCACACTATGTCGTCAATAACCTCACGTTTGTATGGGTCAAGATTTAGAGTAGCTACCTTCACAGGATTAAGGAAGTTCTTCAGATCAATGAAAAGCATAAATCGTGATTACCTCAGTGAAGAGCAGAAATTCATCGACATGGTGGTGGAAAGAGAAGTGACTAAGCCTGTCATATTGGACATTATCTCTCAAGAAAGTAGCCACATTAAGCAATCTGCGAATGAAAATTTCACGTGTCACCGTAGCAAAAATGAGTTACTTCATGCCGCTTATCGAGAAATGTGGATAGAAATAGGCAATTTCGGCGATATTCATCATCTTACTGTTGGGCAGACTGTGCTGAAAGTATTGAGAGGACTGCTACTTAGTTCTGGATTTTTGATAGATTCTATTATTTTTACTCCTCCGCTCTTAGTTATCTATATGCTTAGGAAACGTAGGTCTGATGAAGCGGCACAGGATGCATTCGATCGGCGAAAAAACGGAATTCTTCATTATCTTGTCGATCTTGAGGGTGTGCTGTCCACCATGGGCGATCACTTAAAACAAAACTTAATTGAATGGATCACAAACGAGCAAAAGAAATTCGTGAATAAAGTGAATGGCTACCATAGAGTTGTCTGTCGCACCATTGAAGATCGCCATCGAGCCTATGAGTTGGCTCGCTCCTATGCACCTAACTTTGCTCGTATTGAATGTCGCCTTGAAGCCAATCTCAATTTGGCCACACATCACGGATCTCGCCCTGTTATCGATCGGCAAGAAGTGTTGGGTACGGGCGGATTTTTTACTGTTCATCCGGCATCGTGGGACACTGAGCATAGACTAGTCGCCAAAATACTACGAGATCATGGTATCAATCAAGATTTGGCTTATCTGGAAGCTCACTTTCATCGTACTGTGAGCAATTTAAATATTTTACACGTGACACCCTTGAAGTATCTCTACGAAGAAAACGATTCCTCGCTTTATTTGCTTCTCCCTCGCTATCCCACCGATCTACATTCGTTTCTCGTCACTCATATGGGACAAGTAACAGCAGACAAGGCTATAAAGATTTCGCACGATATTGCTATCGCCATCGCACACATGCATGCCTATGATCTTGTTCATCGTGATATTAAAGTTCAAAATATTCTCATCGACGAACAAGAACAAGTCTACCTAGCCGACTTTGGTACGTGCCAACATGGGACAGAAAACATCACATTTGTCGGCTCGCGTCCAGTCGCACCCGAGATCACAACAACACCATCGTCCACCGCGGTCAGCTCGAGCAGTGATCGTCAATATTCGTACCAAGGTACGACGGTCGACGTCTATTTACTCGGCATGATCATGTATGCTTGTGCACCGAAAGATATTTATATTCCACCGTCTGACATCACATTCGACCAGTTACATCTACTCGATAGACGACGAGTTCCTCAACGTTATTGTCAGTTGATCGGTCGCTGTCTCAACAGAGACTCCAAGCAGCGTCCAACAGCCAAAGAAATTGTCGACGAACTCGACGCAATGGCCGAACAACTGTGTCTCATCTGTCAGGAAGCACCACGCATTGCGCGCTGTGAACCTTGTGGGCATAAGACGATGTGTGTCGTATGTCTTACTCAAATTCAACAGAGAAGTGCCCAGCCAAAATGCATTATATGCAAGCAAGTATTCACAAGTGTACGAGAAGATGACGACACGAACACGTTTTTCGCTACTGCATCGAACTCTGCTTGATGGAATTTAAGAATAACAGTTTCCATGTAACATCCTAATAAAAGAGTTCCACTTCGCACTTTTTTAGCAGTAAATCCACATACAATACACAGACAGCTAGAATATTATGTTTTTAAATATTATTACTTGCTAACGATACTTTGGATATGATAAAAATTATTGATTTCAAAAGCACAGCATAAAAATCTTGCCAAAAGAAACCTTGTGATCTATTTAGCTCGTCTTACAATCATGTTCGCAGTTCATATCCAATACTCACAGAATGTCAGTTCTTTGTGTACCATCACATGTGGAGGGCAAATAGCAAAACGGACAACATGAGAAAAGTAACTGATCGATGTGTTATGTGATTACTATGTAAATAATAAAGAAACATGGGGTAGGTCCGGGTAAAACAGACGTGACTATTCGCACCTCCTGAAGACTGATTTATTTTACAGTGCACAACCTCTTTTTCTTAGGAAAAAGCTTCATTCCGGAAAATATGGGTGAGGGTGTTTGACAAATAATGATAAATCGAAGGAGAAGAGATGAAAGCGGAAAAGTTTAAAAAGAAAAAGAAAGACTTCCCCAATTGGTGTTTTTGATTTTTGACTTTTTTGTGTACTAAAAGAAGTACAGTAGGTGAAATAAAGCGCAAAGGATGAAAAGAAAAGAGAAAAGATACGGACGTTGCTTGGATAAATGTTTGGTTAAATAATATAATGTTTTTGGTTATGTTTTTGGTTTTGTTTTAATAGAAAAATGTATGAGTTTTTAAAAAAAATATAACGACAAATGTTGAATATATATAAAAAAGTGGAAATACGAGAATTTATACGCGTTTCGAATATCTTCTTCAGTAAATGCTCGTTTGTAGAATGATGGTTGATAGACAGAAAAGTGGCTGTTTATATAGGAATTTGTTCATGCAGACGGAAAAATAAGAGAGGAGAGAAATGTTTTAATTTTGATTGTTTATTGAAAGAGAAAGTGAAAATTTTGTGAAATCCTTTATTAGAAGTGAAAATTTTTGCTCAAAGGGAAATGCTTAGTTCAAAAGATTCCGAGCAGGCGACTTGTCATTGAAAGATCAACCGAGGTCTGGACGTCCTCTCGAATCCGATGTTGAACGATTAAAAGCATTGATAGAAGAGAATTCACGGCTAACCACACGTGACTTGTCAGCAATGGTAGGCTGCAACCAATCCTCGATCGATCGTCATCTGCATCAAGTGGGAAAAATCAATAAGCTTGGTACATGGGTTCCACATCAACTCTCACCAGACAACATGCAACAGAGAATCACCATCTCAACTTTTTGTTGTCCAAGCGCGACCGATATAGGTTTCTTCAGCAAATCGTAACTGGTGATGAAAAGTGGGTACTCTACGTTAATCATAAACGCAAGCGCCAGTGGCTCAATCCTGAAGATTGCACCCAAAAAAGGTGGTGCTATCAATTTGGTGGGATTTTCAAGGTGTTATCTACTATGAACTTCTTCCTCCTAACACCGCAGTAGACTCCAAGCTTTACTGCACACAACTCGAAAATTTGAAGGTGGTACTTCAAGCCAAGTGTTCAGAACGACGAAAAGTTCGGCTGCTTCACGACAACGCTAGACCTCATGTATCAAAAGTCACCCGTCAAAAGCTGGAAGAACTGGGCTGGGAACTCCTGCCCCATCCATCGTATTCACCAGACTTAGCACCCTCCGATTATCACTTATTCCGCTCGCTTCGCAATCATCTGCTCCAGAAACACTTCGACGATGAAGCGCACTTAAAGTCGGACCTAGAAAGTTTCTTGCAGTCTTTGTCCAAGAAATTCTTTGAAGATGGTATTCTGGATTTGCCTAAGAGATGGAAGTATGTCGTAGATAACAACGGTATATATGTTATTGATTGATGTTGTTTTGTTTCAATAAAATCATGAAACATTAAAAAGAAAAAAAATCGGCGAATACTTTTGCATCAACCCAATAGTTACATAATAAGTGTTTGCAAAAGTAAGTTATATTCATCTATGTATGGCTTCGTTTTTCATATATGCTTTAAAGATATTCTACACAATTATGATTTCTGCAAGAAGTATAGAGCATACACAAGTTTTTATTTTTGACTAGAATAGTCACAACTATTGATCAAAAACAGATAAAAAAAACAAAAAGATCAAGACTACCATTCTAATGTGAAAATAATGTTTAATTTGCTTTAAGAAAACCAGCTGCAATTGTTTTCACTAGAATGAAACCAAAATAAAAAGAGAATACAAGTTATAGTTTGCTTCACAAGCGGTTTTCTGTTGACTAGTCAATAACGTTTCAGCACGTCGATCTCAAAGTATATGATAATCTCAAAAAATATGAAGTATCTTGCACATAACGGACATTGACCTTTTTTGCATATTTCATTTAAAATGAGAATAACAAAAACACATATCTTCAATCACACACGTGTCTATAGACACATAGTATCATGTATTCATGTTATAAACAGAATGTGTACTAACCCCCTCCTCCTCCCTCCGCAATAAAAGGCCTGGAGCCTTTTATAATGGCAAAGCAAATGAATTTTCTATGGAAGCCTTCTATTCAGGATCTTAAGCCTATATGGATAAAAACTTTTAGAAATCTTGATCGAATTATTTATTTTTTCAATTTCTCTGTTCAAATCACAAATGTGAAGTAAAAAAAAGTTGAAAACCAAAACATAACTTTACATCGAACAAGCAAATGTACTAAATTGAATTGTTTTTTTTCCATAGCTCAACCAGCTTCAGTTGTCTGCCACCATTCTTTAGCACCATTTGTGTATATTGTTGATTTGCTAGGATTGCATCGTTCGCAATTCTATTTTCAATATTTTCATCGTCGTCATCAGATTGCGTTTGACATTCTTCATTAAGATCATAAACATAACCAGGCAATGTTCGAGGTGTTACACTTGAGTAATCTGTCCAGATGTATCCTATTTCTGAGAATCCCTTCTTGAGATCGGTAGATTTCAATATTCGCTTCCAGGCTTCCCAAGTCAGATGCGTGCATATGATTCTGGATTGCGAAGCATTGAGTTTCAGTTTACTACGTGGACCATTTTTTTCGATAAATTCTGCGCTGCATCGAAGTAATGAGATTTAAAAGTTGAAAAAACGAGTGTATCGAGAATTTGCAAGTATTGTGAATCCGGATTAAAAACCGTATGTTTTCCAAGGACACATCTAGAAATCTCTAGAACACGTGGATCATAGGTAATCGACCACACTGATCATCGGGGCGATGTTTGTTTGATTCCCCACTCAACCGCAACCTCAGCAAAGCCATATTGGTGAAAATCCAGTTTTTTGTCTGTTACCATCAATGATTAAAAACCGTATGTTTCGCTCATTTCTCCTTCAAATAGACTCAAATTTTCGGGAAATGATTAGCAGAGATCAAAGAATGTAGAACTGGTAAAAAAACTCAGACCTGAACTTTGGTTGTGTGGGAGGTTTTCTAGAGATACGCAAAAAAACCGTATACGTAAACTGAAAACCTTATTTAACTTTTTCGACCAGTTCTGCATTCTTTGATCTCTGCTAATCATTTCTCGAAAATTTGAGTCTATTTGAAGGAGAAATGAGTGAAACATACGGTTTTTAATCATTGATGGTAACAGACAAAAAACTGGATTTTCACCAATATGGCTTTGCTGGGGTTGCGGTTGAGTGGGGAATCAAACAAACATCGCCCCGATGATCAGTGTGGTCGATTACCTATGATCCACGTGTTCTAGAGATTTCCAGATGTATTCTTGGAAAACGTCTGTATCTCCCGAACCGATTTAGACGAATGTCTAGATCTTGCGTGCTTTTGACGAGTGATGTTCTGGTTATCAACTGCTGTTAGTTGAGATTGGATTTTATAGTGTGTGTTTGGAACGGTAAGCTTTCGGATTTTGTCTCGAATGGTACACCATGCTAAACCATATCGGAAGCTCTGACTTTTTCATAGGTCAACGTGCCCCGGTGTCTAATTTCTAAAATTGAAAACCGCAGGTCACTATCATCTTTCGTTCTCGAGTTATTGGATTCATAAGCACTCATCTTCTATTTTGAAATGGATAGTAGTCGCGCCCACAAACGTAATAGAAAAGGAATACAAAAGCACCTTGAATAACTATACAAATAATCAGTTGTGCTTTGGGGAAAACATTCTTAGAACTTCAGTACAAAGAAATTTATAAAGCGTACCGGAACTTACACTCATAAGTTAAAATACGACAACTCCTTTTGACACTCTCAGAGAGTGGCAATAGCCATTCCGCAAACTAAGTACACAGCAATTTCAACGAACGAAAGAGCTTGGAAACAAATCCTTTTTTCCACTTTTGTTGTGACAAAGTTGAAATCGTTTTGTTTAACTATTTTGAATACCAAAACTGATTGTTCTTTTTCATAAAATGTGTGAAATCTAGGGACTTCTACTATGTACAACTTCGTTCAATGTATTAACTTCGCAAGGTCTCAAAATAAAAATGCGCTAAAGTGAGAAAAGCATCAAAGGTTGATATCATTGCAATCGTGAGTATCCTCGGTGTAGGATTGCTTTGTCGTTGGTGACTTTCAGGATGTAGCAAGTATCAGTTCGGTCTTGTTTAACACACAGAGGATTGGGACTAAGCCATTCCGCCTCATTCACAGGATGCTAGATTGGCTCGAGCAACGAACGGATATTAGCGTCTAGTATTCAGGGATAAGGGCAGAAAATTTCATCCGAGATGAAAATTTCTTTCACTAAAGTTATCACAGCTCATTTGTATTTTGTATTTTTCTAAAAGGAAAATGCCACATGTGCATGCATATTAGTCATTATGTGCGAACTCAATATCCTGCTTTTCAGTACTCTCTCGCTTCTGATGAGATGCTCTCAACTCGGTCAGTTCTTATCCAATTGAACTGGAAATTTCAGAAAGATATAGAACGAAAAGAAAAAGGGAACGATCATATACTCTCAAAAAAGTTTCGTTTTGAGTATTTTTGGCTTAATTATTACACATAGTATAGTCCTGGTAGAAAGAAGGAATTTAGATTTTTTGTTCCGTTCTCGACACATGTACGTAGTTTCCACTATATGTTGGAATAACTTTTGTAGTCATTTGACTGATGATGTCTTCTGAATAAAGATGAAACGCCAAGAAAATATGTGTTAACAATAATGTAAAAATGGGAAAAAGCTAGATCAGTATACAAACGGAATAGAGTGTAATACTTCCGTTTCGTATCTTATAAAAAGACTTGCACGTATCAGTCAGTTTATGAAAACTCAAAAGACTAAAGATAATTGTCTTTTCATAAGTGAGTATTGATTGAAAGCTTTAAACAGGTATTTTTACAGTATGACAAGTTTTACAAAAAGTATTTAGATAAACTTGACCATCAAGCAGACATACTCATCTTACAAGAGACTGAAAAAGTTTTCCGAAAATCGGTCAATTCACAGGACCTATTATGGATCATTTTTTAAGATATTCATAGCTCAGGAGATAAAAGATACCAAGGTCTGAAACTTTGGATTTACGGCTACCTATACAAGGAAAATCGAAACTCCGCATTATCTTGAATATTATTTCTTCCAGTCATGATTTTTCTGGGCGGTGCCACCATACGTCTCTCAGGACCGATCATCAGTCATGTAACTTAATATCTCATTAGAAGGTCAAGGTCATCTTTGAAAAACGGATATTTTCTTTATTAAGTTCAATAAAACGTAGTTCTTTTTGTCGATCAAGTTTGAATTCTATTTTTCGTACAGGTCACTACAGGCCGAGTTATCTTCACACGCACCCATATTTTTTGTCTTAGCTTTGTTGGTGTACGGGGTGACTAGTCACCCCGTACACCAACAAAGCTAAGACAAAAAATATGGGTGCGTGTGAAGATAACTCGGCCTGTAGTGACCTGTACGAAAAATAGAATTCAAACTTGATCGACAAAAAGAACTACGTTTTATTGAACTTAATAAAGAAAATATCCGTTTTTCAAAGATGACCTTGACCTTCTAATGAGATATTAAGTTACATGACTGATGATCGGTCCTGAGAGACGTATGGTGGCACCGCCCAGAAAAATCATGACTGGAAGAAATAATATTCAAGATAATGCGGAGTTTCGATTTTCCTTGTATAGGTAGCCGTAAATCCAAAGTTTCAGACCTTGGTATCTTTTATCTCCTGAGCTATGAATATCTTAAAAAATGATCCATAATAGGTCCTGTGAATTGACCGATTTTCGGAAAACTTTTTCAGTCTCTTGTAAGATGAGTATGTCTGCTTGATGGTCAAGTTTATCTAAATACTTTTTGTAAAACTTGTCATACTGTAAAAATACCTGTTTAAAGCTTTCAATCAATACTCACTTATGAAAAGACAATTATCTTTAGTCTTTTGAGTTTTCATAAACTGACTGATACGTGCAAGTCTTTTTATAAGATACGAAACGGAAGTATTACACTCTATTCCGTTTGTATACTGATCTAGCTTTTTCCCATTTTTACATTATTGTTAACACATATTTTCTTGGCGTTTCATCTTTATTCAGAAGACATCATCAGTCAAATGACTACAAAAGTTATTCCAACATATAGTGGAAACTACGTACATGTGTCGAGAACGGAACAAAAAATCTAAATTCCTTCTTTCTACCAGGACTATACTATGTGTAATAATTAAGCCAAAAATACTCAAAACGAAACTTTTTTGAGAGTATATGATCGTTCCCTTTTTCTTTTCGTTCTATATCTTTCTGAAATTTCCAGTTCAATTGGATAAGAACTGACCGAGTTGAGAGCATCTCATCAGAAGCGAGAGAGTACTGAAAAGCAGGATATTGAGTTCGCACATAATGACTAATATGCATGCACATGTGGCATTTTCCTTTTAGAAAAATACAAAATACAAATGAGCTGTGATAACTTTAGTGAAAGAAATTTTCATCTCGGATGAAATTTTCTGCCCTTATCCCTGAATACTAGACGCTAATATCCGTTCGTTGCTCGAGCCAATCTAGCATCCTGTGAATGAGGCGGAATGGCTTAGTCCCAATCCTCTGTGTGTTAAACAAGACCGAACTGATACTTGCTACATCCTGAAAGTCACCAACGACAAAGCAATCCTACACCGAGGATACTCACGATTGCAATGATATCAACCTTTGATGCTTTTCTCACTTTAGCGCATTTTTATTTTGAGACCTTGCGAAGTTAATACATTGAACGAAGTTGTACATAGTAGAAGTCCCTAGATTTCACACATTTTATGAAAAAGAACAATCAGTTTTGGTATTCAAAATAGTTAAACAAAACGATTTCAACTTTGTCACAACAAAAGTGGAAAAAAGGATTTGTTTCCAAGCTCTTTCGTTCGTTGAAATTGCTGTGTACTTAGTTTGCGGAATGGCTATTGCCACTCTCTGAGAGTGTCAAAAGGAGTTGTCGTATTTTAACTTATGAGTGTAAGTTCCGGTACGCTTTATAAATTTCTTTGTACTGAAGTTCTAAGAATGTTTTCCCCAAAGCACAACTGATTATTTGTATAGTTATTCAAGGTGCTTTTGTATTCCTTTTCTATTACGTTTGTGGGCGCGACTACTATCCATTTCAAAATAGAAGATGAGTGCTTATGAATCCAATAACTCGAGAACGAAAGATGATAGTGACCTGCGGTTTTCAATTTTAGAAATTAGACACCGGGGCACGTTGACCTATGAAAAAGTCAGAGCTTCCGATATGGTTTAGCATGGTGTACCATTCGAGACAAAATCCGAAAGCTTACCGTTCCAAACACACACTATAAAATCCAATCTCAACTAACAGCAGTTGATAACCAGAACATCACTCGTCAAAAGCACGCAAGATCTAGACATTCGTCTAAATCGGTTCGGGAGATACAGACGTTTTCCAAGAATACATCTGGAAATCTCTAGAACACGTGGATCATAGGTAATCGACCACACTGATCATCGGGGCGATGTTTGTTTGATTCCCCACTCAACCGCAACCCCAGCAAAGCCATATTGGTGAAAATCCAGTTTTTTGTCTGTTACCATCAATGATTAAAAACCGTATGTTTCACTCATTTCTCCTTCAAATAGACTCAAATTTTCGAGAAATGATTAGCAGAGATCAAAGAATGCAGAACTGGTCGAAAAAGTTAAATAAGGTTTTCAGTTTACGTATACGGTTTTTTTGCGTATCTCTAGAAAACCTCCCACACAACCAAAGTTCAGGTCTGAGTTTTTTTACCAGTTCTACATTCTTTGATCTCTGCTAATCATTTCCCGAAAATT